GTGTTCTTCCTTGCAATAAGAGTTTGGGGAGGTTCCTGGGATTTTTGCTCTAATGCGAAAAGCCTTCCCAACCAGCCCCTGAGAGCTGAGAACCCACAGCCTCCACCTCCAGACCGTGTGGCTTTGCCTTTCGGCTTGCTGCTGGAAATTGGGCAAACCCAAGGCCCCCCTATTGATAGTTTCACCAGATTCCTATAGTCAGACTTCAGATTTAATGACACCGAAGCATCCAACCCCTCTCAGGCCCACGTGGCTCAGGGACTTGATCCTCAAAGTGTGGTCCCCTGACCGGCAGCATCTGTTTCAGCATCACTCCGGACCGGGTTAGAAATGCACATTCTCAGGCCCCGCCCCAGACCTCCTAAAGCAGAGGCAGGGCAAGGGGAGACTTCTGTGCTTTGCTGCCCCTGCGGGTGGCTGTGAGGCGCTCGGACAGCCTTGCCCTGGGACTTCCCGCTTCGCCCAGGTGAGCTTGAATCTTTAGGCAGGGAGTTCGGGTCCTCCCGAGATCTCCTGGCTGCCCGCTGGGTGGTCACGTGGGCTCTTGGATTTCTTCTCTCTCTCCCTTCGCCCCCCGCTCCCCCGCCCATACACACCCCTCTCCTGTCTTTAAAAGGAAGAAGAGGCTCCTGGTTAAGTCGTTTGTAATCTTTGCAGTGTCTTGGGCTACTGGACCTTTTGACATTCACTCCCTCGCTCCTGCGGCCGAGGACACTGGAAGAGCTGAGATTCCGAGAACCTCCTCTGGAAACTTAGAGGGTGGAGAGGGAGGGGGCGGCGGGAGCCTGGCGGGAAAGGGACCCTTTTGGGCTGTGCGTGACAGGCATCCAGTGCTGCGCATCAGGCGAAGGGTGGCTTCGGGGCTTGGGCTGCGCGAAGCGCGCTCACTGTCTGCAGCTGGTGGCCGCCGGCTCGCGGGGAACAGAACTCCGGGAAAAGCACGCATCTGCACTTTAGAGATTGCTCTGCGGGTAAGGTAAGTAAGTGCCCCTTCGCTCAAGGTGAGATTTAATTGTCTGATTTTCTCTTTGAAATCCTGCGGGGGAAAACCAGTATTATTGAGAATAAAAGACCCTCCCCCCCCTGAAAAAAACACACAAACCAAACAAAAACAAAAACAAAACAAAACAAAAACCGTCTTGAAGACTAGTGGAAACATTTTGTGATCTAAATATGTTTATTCAAGACGCCGGCAAACTAACTTATTCTACTAGCTTGTGCCTGTACGCTCCAGGTTGAAGGTGCTAATATACATGTCTTTTTAAAAGAAAACACTCATCTTAGTTTTCTCTATGGATTTCCTGACAGTGGGTGACATGTTGACAGTGGGAAAGTTGAAGACGAGATTCATGCTTGAGTTTTGTGGGCCTGGGAATATGTACATGTATCAGGCAGTGTTTTAAAATGTATTAATTGGCATTACTTTGTGGTATCAGAAAGCAGATTGGCTTCTGGGCGGATTGAGCAGGATTAAGTTCTGTCCTGTTTTAGTTGCTGAACAGGAACCCAGCTGTTGTTTCCTAACAACCTTTGTGTTACTTACTCTTAGAGCCTAATTCATATTGGAAGTATGAAATTAAGTCAAGGGAATATTAACTTTGTGAAAAACAAGCCTTTGGATTTCAGTGGATTTCTATTTAGGAAAATAAGGTTGACTCAATTCTACCAGCTTTTAAAAAAGCAACTTTGTGCTCTGATGTGGCACACAACTCTTTGGAAGAAAGTATTTGTCTTATTTTGATAGATTTTTGGTATTTGTATGGTCATTCCATTAGGGATTTTTTACTTTTGTTACAAATTTCTAAACTCAGTGTCTATTTCCTTTGTGTGTGGGGAAGGATATTTGTTGTTTAAAAGTGAACATGTGAAAAGAAAGGTTTGTACTGTGAGTATTGTAAAAAGTAAATGTACTGTGACTATGAAAATAACATTACACACGTATTCTTTGACTCCTCTTTTTTTTTCTGCAAAAGATCAAATATGTTTCTGCATACATCCTAGAAGAGGGAAAATGTAAGGATCCTGTTCATCAGTAGGCATTAAAGCATAAACCTTAGGATTCCTTTTTACATTCAAGCACTTTTTATTTTTTTTTCAGTTGAATTACTGAAACATTCTTATTTTTAACTGCAGCCAGTTTCCTGTAAGATTTAAGATGTATATGTCTCCCAAATCAATTAAAAACACATTTAGGACACATTTCATAGTATTCTGAGGGACTTGAATGAATCTAATCACCTTTTACATTTCTCAAAATTTATTTATAGTATGGAAAAGATCAATTTAACCCTTAAAAATATAATTAGCACTTAATAGATATTGATATGTCCATTTTAAGAGTAAGACTGTAATTTTCTATAAATGTGTATCCAATAGGTAATGATTAAAAAACATCTTGTGATGATTTTAGTTCATGTTTTGAGTCATTTTATACTCATATCTATAAATATATAATAAAATAATTATATAAAATACTGAGCGTTTAACTTGAATCATTTATTTTCTGGTAACTTTTTTGATAATGACATCTAGAACCCTTGAGGAATGTATATGTGCTTGAATGTCAGACTTCATATTTCAGTGCCTAGCACATTGTTTTAGACATAATAGCATTTTTTAGAAGGCAAGCTTATTGCAGTATAATTTACATGCAGTAAGATCTAACCTCTTTAGGTGTGCCCCTCTATGAATTCTGACAATTGCACACAGTCATATCACTTCCATAATCATGGCCTAGAACAGTTCCATCCCCCCCGAAAGTCCCCGCTGTGCCTTTGTAGTCAGTCCTTTCCACCCACCCCCGACCCCTGGAAATCACTGGTCTGTTCACTGATTTTACAGTTTTGTTTTTCAGTATGTTTTCACTTAGAAATAGTTACCTTCCTTCCCTTTTCTCAAAAGAAAACCTCAGTCTCCACTTTTGGGGGCTGGGGTGGGGTCGGGGGATGAGTCAGGTTGTGGTATTTTGTATTAATCCTGTATACTTTGGGATAAATGGAGGCAAAGACAAAACTATTGGGCTGTCGGAAAAGTCATGACGTATTTTTTCTATGTTTTTCGTTGCAAAAATGCATCATGACTTTTCCGACAACCCAATATTTTGCAAGTGGGAAGCGAGAGGCTTGGGCTAAATGTTAATTTCATATTGAGCTAATAGATTTCTTAGCAAGTTTGGATTCCATTGTGGTTAGTCTTTGATTATGATGTGTGTTGTTAGTTATCTCAAACTCAAATACAATGCCATTTAAAATATATTTGTTATGTATGTCATATTAATAGAATGCATTATTCCTTTATAATCTTGGCATCTAAGAAATACTTTTATTATACTTGAGACTAAGAAAGTTACCTGAAATTACATATTGTCAAATAGTGAGGAGCGAAAGAACGATTGAAAATGATAATTTGTAGACATTTAAAATAATTTTTAGAGTGATTGTGACTGTTCAAGTTAAAATACAATCCTTAATAGGAGCTAAATTCTGTGCCCAATTCATTTGTAGATGTCAGGGTTTCTGCGTTTCCGTGCTCATGCTTTGAAATCTAGATTTTCCTGCAGGATATAGATGCAAAATCTTTTGCAAACTAATATTCTTTACTGTGTAATACATCATTCAATTCAGTAAACATGACCCTGTTATTGCTGGGCACACCTAAGAAAGATGTCAGATGATGTCTTTTTCCTTTGTGCTATGAAAAACAAGAGCCTGTATTTTAAATACACAACTTCCCTTTCAGAGTACAGTGGCAGTAACTAGGATATGCTGAGGGCCAAGTTTATGAGGCCAGCACAATGGATAGTTGGCATTTCTAACTAGAACTGTTACAGCTCTTGATACTCAAGGGCCTTTAGCAGGGATTCTTTGTATGGGTATACTTGAGAGCAGGAGGGAGAGAGAGGGTCACCTGGAAAGACAGATACCTGTCTGTTTCCTTCAAGCAATACTGCAACCTTCTGCTGGTAAATGTTTTGTGTTCTACTGTCAAACCCAGGACTGGAAGGGGAGTTGAACGTATTCAAGTTGACTTAGGCATCGGTCACGTCCTCTTGAATCGCTTTACCCACAAGCCTTTCCCATCCTGCCCCTGATGAATGTTTGAATATGATTCAGTTTCCTAAGAGTGGAGCATTGTCTTTGGCTGTTAGTATCAGAAAGCTCAGAGTTTATGTGGTCTAAGTTCACCTGGCTTTCAGGCAGAGCTGGGACTAGGACCCTCTGTACTGCTCTGTCCACTGGGCCAGAGTACATGTAAAAAGAGGCCTGGTCGGTGACTGCTTTCTTAGTCTTTAACTAGATTTGGTAGGTATGTTGATAAAATCAGTCTACTCCTTCTGGAGTGCCCTTCTGCTAGTTCTAGGGCCTGCCTTTTTCTCCAAGGAATCCGTGACAGTATTTGGAATTTTAAAAACACTTTTTTCAGTTTAAGAGTGGTAATGTGTTTCCTAGCCAGTATGTAAGAACACTGTGTAAAATCCCATGTGTATAAAAAGCTTTTCCACTGAACTCAGACATGACTGGAGAGGCCTCAACACAGGTGTGTGTGCTGGGGGCGGGGGAGAGGGGTCTTTGGCCAGAAGACAAGGGCTGTTCATCACAAAGAGTATGGGCCCACTTTGTCTTTTTGGCTATGATGACTAATTAAAGAAAACTGACATCAAAGGAATGAGTAATTCTTAGGATCAAGATGTCTGGGTATGTTCTGTTGTTGCCTAGTTGAAAGTCCATGCCTGCCAGGCCCAACAATTAAACTGTTTCGAGACTATTTTTCCCTGTTGTACCAGATATTGTGGTCACTGAGGCAGAGCTGGGGTATTCAAATGAGTGAGTGGGGAAAATCCTGTCCTACAATTTGAAGAAACTATCTCTTGAGGATTCTTTCCTTCACCTGGTTTATATCCCTGTTTTAGAGGAGGACTGCTCAGGTGACCAGACAGTTTTTTTATTCACGTTCATAGACCTCCAGTGGAGAAGGCTCCTCTTTTGCTTCCTGTTCTCCTGTCTCCCAGGTCTACTGCAATGATTCAAGTTCATCCCTCCTTGTTGTGTCTTTGCTTAAGAAGAAAAGCCCTTTTCATTGACTACCAAGTTACTAATTATCCAAGATCCCACTGACAAATAGTTGTCACATGAATCTGGGTGCATCTAAAAGATATCCAGCCAAAAAAGCAACATAGCCTTTTAATCATTGCCCAGCAACCAGTTCTCTCACATTAATTATCATGGTACTGGGGAGGTGTGGAAATTCTAGAGAGGTTGTTTGGAGTATACATGTGAAATCCGAATTTTCTAAGCAAAGTCACCGTACTGATTTCCTGGATGAATTCTGGCATTGCCATTTGGTGGTCTGTGTCTGACAGGTCATTTTAGCATTTCTGGGTTGAGAATGAACATTTCACTTATAGTTGACAATGAGTGATAGGATTGATTCTCTGCTTCTTAGAGAGATGCCGTATTTATTTTAAAGTGCGTTCACTTTCTGGCAGGCCGAGTGGCCCGTTGGTTAAGTGTTGGCTTGGGACACCAGCTCTGAGCAGCAGGTCCCCAGTTAGGATCCCACATGGGCCAGTGACGCTGTGCCCTCTACAACTAAGATGATGAACAATAGCTCGACCTGGAACTGGGCTACCATGAGTGGCCAGCAATGGCGTAGGCTGTAACCCCTGCTGCAGTGGGCTGCCGTGAGCTACCGTGAGTGGCTGGCAGCCAGTGTGAGTGGCTGGCAGCCGCTGTGAGCTACCAAGAGCCGCCATGAGCAGCCGTCCATGGCCAGTGACCGATCTGCCTCACCTGGGAAGAACACAATGATAATACCAACATGGGCCAGTGAAGCAATGTCCTCCACAACTAGACTGAAGAACAAAAAGGACAGCAACTTGTCTGTTCCGTTCCCCAATTCCCTAATTCCCCAATAAAATCTTAAAAAATAAAATAAAATAAAATAAAATAAAGTGTGTTCACTTCCAACTGGATAATG